CCAGCAAGGTGGCTCAAGACCACCAAGTCATCCTCTGGTGTCCACACCAATGTGGTGGCACATGCCACTCACTTCACTTAACAAAAACGAAGAGGGAAGGACGGAGACACAAAGTAAGAGGAAAGAAAAGACTAACAGGGAAGGGCGGTGCTTGGCTCAGGTGGTAGAGGACTCCCGGAGTATTCACATGGCCCTGGGGTCCACTGCCAGCACCCCATATACCAGGTTTGGTGGTGAACACCTATAATGCCAGCACTCAGGAGGTGGCTGTGGGAAAACCAGGTATTCAAAGCCATCCTTTGTTACCTAATAAATTCAAATATAGCTTGGGCTACATGGAACCCTGTCTCAAAAAAAAAAAGGCATTTTTCCCCTCCTGATTTTTTTTGGGAGAGGGGCTTATGGTTCCCAGGCTGGTCTTTTAATCACTGCATGACTGAGGATGACTTTGAACTCGGGATTTTCCTCCTGCCTCTACCTCCCAAGCAAATGGGAGTCCTAGAGATGCCACCCCACAGAGTGGTGACATCCACTGTGATGACACTGGTCACTCCCTGAAGTACTGAGGCTGGAGGGGCAGAACTTTCTCTCCTGTGCCCCTTGGTGACCCACTGAGCAGCAGTGAGGCCGTAGGCATGGTGGTCAAGAACAGCCCGAGAATCTTCTTGTGCCTCTCTTTCCTCCTCCCCGGTGACCTGGTTCTCCTTTTCGGTACCAAATCTGGGCCTTTGGCACAAACTGGATTAGGCAGCTGCCCCAGGAGACCTGGCCGGGTCATGGCCCTTGGCCGGTGCTTGCCACACCCAGCCCAATGCCCAAACAGGGCCCCAGATCTTCTGTGACTCGATCCCTCCAAATTCCGGCGATCCGCCCCGATTCCAAATTGCCGAACGATCCCAGGTCCAGTGGCAGACGGAGCCAAGCCTCAACCAGGAAAGGGCCTCTGAGACTGGGACTCCATCACCACCAACCACCTCCGGCATCAGTCTGGGGTGAAAGATGGCACTGGCCTGGTGCAGCTGGTTTTTCCTCAGTGGTGAGCAAGAGGGTTTCCCACCCCACCCCCCAGGTCCTCAGCCCACTCCCTGGACCATTAAGGCCTAAAGACAGAGGAACCCCTGCCCAGGGGAGGGAACCTGTGAGCCAGAAGCCCAGCTTGCACTGTGTGGGAGCAGCTTTGTTTTAGTCTTGAGAGGGAGGCCTGTAGGGTAGACTGGAGATGGCCCCTGAGAGATGTCAGCCGTGGGAGGAGGGGGCTTAGAGAGTCCCGGAGCCAGAGCAAAGCAAGGGGACTAGTGGCAGGGTTTCCAGACTCTTGTTTGGGCTTGGTTTAGGTGTTTTTGAGGTAAAGTCCAGCCCAGGTTGGCCTGAAACTTACTTTGTAGTTGAGGATGACTTTGAACTTCTGATCCTCCTACCTTCAACTCCCTAGCGTTGGGATTACAGGTATGTGCCATCATGCCAAGTTTATACACTGGGGATTGAACTCAGGGCTTCATGCTTGCTAAGCAAACACTCTACAAACTGAGTTACATGCCCAGCTAATTTATGTTGTCTTTTGTTTTTGAGATAGGGTCTCACTGTTTCCCTGGCTAACCTGGGCTAAACTGGCAATGTTGACCAGGCTGGCCTTGAACTCACAGAGATCCACCTGCTCTGCCTCCTAAGTGCTGGGATAAAGTTATGTGTCACCAAGCCCAGCACTAGTGAAGTCTTTGTTGCTGTTGTTGAGACAGGGTCTCACTATATAGCCCAGGCTGGCCTCAGACTTGAGACAGCCCTCGTGCCTCAGCTTCCAGAGTGTGACCACTGTGCCTGGTTTGTGTTGCTCTTCCCTCAGCCTCAGTTACTCAGCCGTGAATAGGCCTAGCTGGCAGGATCACTCTCAGGTCCTTAGAAGCAGGACTGATTAACGTCTGCTGTTTACCAACTTGGAATCCTTTTTGCTTGCTAGCATCCACTCTGAGAGGGATATTCACCTGTGGCCCCGACTTCCTAGGGAGGAAAACCAGGCCTTAAAGAGATGACTTGCTGGCCAGGGTCTCACCACACAAAGTGGCAGAGCTTTGCCCTAACCCCAGAACCTGTCACTACCACGCACTTCCTTCCAACCAGGAAGGGGCTGCAGACCAAGCCAGGCCTGCAAGTGTGTGTCATATGAGAAGTGCCAGGGACACCTTGTGAGCCACGCACAGAGGAGAAGGAAGCAGCAGGGACCGGCCCTACTGGTTGGGACTTGTCTGTTTGCCCAGGATGGGGTGGAGGAGGCTGGGGTGTGGCTCAGAGGGTAGAGTGCTTGCCTAACACTGTGAGGTACTAGGTTTGCTCCCGGCACAGTGTAACTGGGTGTGGTGATACGTGCCCAGAGTCCCAGCACTCAGGAGGTGAAGGCAGGGAGATCAGAAGTTCAAGGTCATCCTCAGCTAAGTGTCAGTTGAGACCAGTACGGAATCCCTGAGTCCTGGATGGAGGAGAAACTAAAGAAAGGAGAGAGAAAGGGAGGGAGAGACTCCACACATCCTGCTCTCCATGTGGGGCCCTCGTGCACACAGAGCCAGTGCCCCTGGATCGGGCGACAGAATTGGGCAGTTCCTGGCATTAGTACGAGGTCACAGACTCACTTGGCTATATGAGCCTAGGGTCCTGACTGAGTCTCAGCCCAATGCCTCTCATGGGAAACGTCCTGCGCCCCACGTTGCTCTGCAGAGACACAGGCTGTGTATGCACAGTGTCAGGTCAGGTGGCCCAGGACGCAGAATTCCCTTTGTATCATCAACCTTGAGAAGATGGAGGTGTCTGCAGAAAGAGGCATGGCCATGCACGCTGTGCAGACTCTATGAATGCTCAAGTGTTAGAGCCTGACTTGTTGGAACATGCCTGCAAACCCTAGCCCTGAGGAGACCAAGACAGGAGATCAGAACTTCCAGAGAAGCCTTCTCCACTCGCTGCTCAAAATTAGGTGGCTAAGATGTTGAGGGCCAGAGGTTGGATCTGTGTGTCAGTAGCAGAGTGTTTGCCTAGAATCCCCCAGTGAGGGGCTGGGGTGTGGCTCAGTGGTAGAGCTCCTGCCTAGAATCCCCCAGTGAGGGGCTGAGGTGTGGCTCAGTGGTAGAGCACCTGCCTTGAATTCCCCAGTGAAGAGCATGGATGAGGTCCTGGGTTTTATTCCTGGAGGAAATGTGGTTGTGGGATGCACACATCTTGCTTGTGTCTGATCTTGCAGACACTGGGGATGTCACCTCTGAACTTGTCAACTCCTGTCAAATAAGGTGGCAAGTCAATCCTATCCCATCCCACCTGTCCCTTCTGTTTTTCCTCAGCCTGGATGCTGAACACTAGGGCTGAGATCTCCATCACCCCTGAGCCCGCCCAACCTGCAGAGGGAGACAATATCACCTTGGTGGTTCATGGGCTTTCCGGGGAACTGCTTGCCTACAATTGGTATGCAGGGCCTACGCTCAGCCTGACCTTCCTGGTGGCCAGCTACATTGTCAGCACTGGTGATGAGACTCCCGGACCAGCCCACACAGGGCGGGAAGCTGTGCGCCCCGATGGCAGTCTTACTATCCATGGTGCCCTGCCTGGGCACACGGGCACCTATATCCTACAGACCCTTAACAGGCAGTTTCAGACGGAGGTGGGCTACGGACACATGCAGGTCTATGGTGAGCAATCCCTTGCAACAATCCAGGACTTTCCACCCTCTTCCTTCACCCCTCCCTTGAAAAGAGAAGCGAAGAAAAAATATTCTTTATAATTGCATTTATTGAATTTGTTTACACATGTGCGTGTGTGCATGTGTGTGTGTGTGTGTGCGTGTGTGTGTGTGTATGCACCTGAACGTTCATGTATTTTAAATAAACACGTGGAGGTCAGAGGACAACTTTCAAGAGTCAGTTCCTTCCTTCTACAATGTGGAACCCAGGGATCGAACTCAGGTTTGGTGGCAAGTGCTTTTACCCACTGTACCATCTTGCCAGCCTCTTAAAACAGGGTCTGGGGTGCCTAAAATAACACCAAAATGCTCACCTTCTCCATTCTGGCTTCCAGGATAATGTCTGTCTTCTTTGTCACTGTGGCTGGGGGTACAGAAGCACAGCTTGGCGGTGCTTCTTGCCCCGGGGACAGGAGGTGCCCCTCCCCTCCCCCTCTGTCTCTTGCTCCCCCTCATAGAGATCCTGGCCCCTCCCACGGTCATGGCCAACGACACGGCGCTGGTGGAGCGTAGGGACACCCTTCGTCTAGTGTGCAGCAGCCCCAGCCCCGCTGAGGTCCGCTGGTTCTTCAATGGCGACGCTCTACCTGTTGCTGTCCGCTTGGGCCTGTCTCCCGACGGCAGAATGTTGACCCGGCATGGCGTCCGCAGGGAGGAAGCTGGCGCCTACCAGTGCGAGGTGTGGAACCCTGTCAGCGTCAGCCGCAGCGAGCCCCTGAACTTGACCGTATATTGTGAGTCTTCCGAAGCACCGGGTTCCCACATCTCATAGATGGAAACAGAGACCAAAAGAAGGAGTCCACAGTCACACAGAAAGCAAGTTGGGAAGGAGCATGGTCCCTTTTAAAACACACTTGACTTGTTGGCTACTCTGTGAAGTACACAGATTGTAGCTAACAATGTCAGGTCGATGTAGATGAGTGACGGAACAGGTGTTCCTTATCAGGGTGTCCAGAGGTAGAGGAAGAAGGCTCACCATTAAGGCCAGCTCGGTTAGAAAGATTTGTCTCAAAAATAAAAAATAAAAAAAGAGCTGGGCAGTAGTGGCGCACGCCTTTAATCCCAGCACTAGAGAAGAGGCAGGCGGATCTCTGTGAGTTCAAGGCCTGGTCTACACCGTGAGTTCCAGGACAGCCAGGAATGTTACACAGAGAAACCCTGTCTTGGAAAAAAGTGGGGGGATATGTGGCTGGGGAAGCTAGGATATAGCTGAGCTGGCAAGACATTGTCTGGCTTGTGCCAAAGCCCTGGGTTCCATCTGAAGAACTCTAAAGTGTTCATGTTAGTATAGATCTACAATCCTAACACAGGGAAGTGGGGGCAGGATCCTGAACTTCAGCCTTGTCAGCTGTGTATTGTTCAAGGCCAGCCTGGGCTACAGGAGGCCCTGTCAGAAAAGAAAAACATCCCTAAATAAGATGTCCAACAGGGATGTTTGGATTTGACGGGGTGGAGGATAACATCACCAGGACTTAGGGCTCAGAGGGGACAACACAAAGGCTCATCACAGAAGCACATAGTAGTACCTGGGGCTGCAGCTTGGTGGAGTGGAATCCTGAGAAAATGAATCACTACTGTGCCCAGCCTTGGCGGAGCAGTCCTTTAATCCAGGAGGCAGAGGCAGGAGAATCACTGTGAGTTCAAGACCCAGCTGATGAGGCTCTGTTAAAAAAAAGGAAAAAAAAAAGGCTGGTGTATAAAACCTGAAGTCCTGGAGCCCTAACCAGAGGATAACAAATGCCAGCACCCTAGCAGCAGAGATAAGGCTGCGGAGTCTAGACGGCAAAGCCTAGAAACACCGCCAGCTGAAGCGGCATCCTAGAACCAAATCATGATACCAAAGCGTCTAGACCAGCGGGTCTCAACTTGTGAGTCGTGACCTCATTAGGGTTGAACGACCTTTCACAGGGACCACCTAAGATCATTAGAAAACACACTTATTTACATTATAATTTATAACAGTAGCAAAATTGCAGTTATGAAATAGCAACAAAAATAATTTCATGGTTGGGGGGTCACCACAGCATGAGGAAATGTATTAAAGGGTCGCAATGTTAGGAAGGCTGAGAGCCACAGCTCTAGAATCTTAGACACACAGATTTCTAGGGTCTGACATAGAATGTAGATTTGATTCATTTTGTTTTTTGAGACAGGGTTTCTCTGTGTGGCCCTGGCTATGATGGAACTCGCTCTGTAGACCAGGCTGGGATTGAACTCACAGAGATCCACTTGCCTCTGACTCTTCCCTCTGAGATCAAAGGGGTTCACCACCACTGCCCAGCTCCGCGCATTCTTTTTTACAGATGAGAAAAAAAACAGGAGTTCTGAGTTCTTGTGGGAGGGGAAGTGAGTCTCAAGATTATACAGTGGATTAGAGATCAAGACGCCACCAAGAGAGGCGCAAGCCCTTTCTCCCTGTACTCAGGCCTGCCAGCCCCAGGGACCCAATCTAGTAGACAAGAAGGGGTGCACGCTTCTGTCCCCTCCCAGCCCACCACCCCGCCCCTCCTGTGTCTCTCCCTCCTGCCCTACAGTTGGCCCTGAACGAGTGGCTATCCTCCAAGACTCCACCACCCGTACGGGCTGCACCATTAAAGTGGACTTCAACACATCCCTCACCCTGTGGTGTGTGTCCCGGTCCTGTCCTGAGCCAGAGTATGTGTGGGCCTTCAATGGGAAGGCCTTGAAGAATGGCCTAGATCACCTGAACATCAGCAGCATGACGGCGGCCCACGAGGGCACGTACACATGCATTGCTAAGAACTCCAAGACTCTACTGTCCGGCTCTGCCTCTGTGGTGGTCAAGCTGTCTGGTGAGTCAGCCCCAGCCTGATGACCAGATGCTCTCCACAGAGGCCCAGCAGGCCTTTGATGACTGGACCACCATTTTCCCAGAAGAGAATTAGATTCCCAGCACATGCACTGAGCGACTGGGACAAGGTGGCAGGCATATTGGATTGTCCCCCTCTTGTCTAGGTGCAAAAAGAGTCAGGCAAAATCCGTCACATCAGAAAATAAATGGTGACTCATATCCTCTGCCTTGAGGTTAGAGTGAGTGACATGTGAGCCCCGTGTTCCCTTCGGGGGTGGCAGAGTGGGACACTGGGGTCCATGTCCTTCTGTGTAATTATCCCTGTTGGTAGAAAAACCATCAATATCTAAGAGCCCTGCCCAGCCCAGGACACGCAGGCCTGAACCGCACACTCTCACACACCACAGCTGGAAAACCAGAGGCAGCTTCCGGCTCCTGGAGAAATCCAGCCAGAGGCCCTGTCTTCACATCTCTGTTCTACTTAAGTGTGGGGAGTGGGGGGGGGGGTGTTGGGCATTGAGAAACCTCAGAGAACACTGCCCATGCCCCAAGGACGGTGGCTTTGAACATCAAGTTCTCATCTAAAATCACAGTGTTTGAAAGGTGAAGGCAGGAGGATCAGGAGTTTGCTGGACACAGACCGTTCGGAGTCAGCTTGGACTACATGAGACCTTGTCTCAAAAGAAAAAAAAAATAGGATCAATAATTCTACCTGGGTTTCTTCTCAAGCGGCCATTGTCCCCTAGGGACAGTGGGAATCGTCCTCCCCCTCCTCCCTCCCTTCTTCCTCCACTAACAGGCTGGGTCTCATGAAAAGGGTGGGGATGGACCCCTCTTTCACGCAGAACAAAGATGGAAGTCCCAAAGGTAAGTGAGCCTCCTGTCTTACCTGTGAGGGCCCTTGGCTGGAGACAAGGTGGACCAGAGGACTTCGGGGACAGCATGGGGGGTGTCCAGGGTCTGCAGGTATGTGTAGGGTGTACCTAATACAACACCCCCAAGTTTGCCTCCTCCCAAGCTGCCAGAAATCGTGTGGCAGATGCTGGGAGTGAGATAGAGGACAGAGAGACATGACTGTTACCCTGCCTGGGAAACAAGCTGATCTGATGGAGGAGGCACGGTCTTTCTCTGATCTCAGGGAAATCGGGGAGGGGAACTGCCAGTCAAAGAGAGGAGGCACGGCCTGAAAGAATTTCCGGGTCATTAGGAGATACTACTTTACTTTAAAATTCATAGTCTGATGGGGGAGACACAGGTCCCACTATAATTGTCATAGAAATTTTCTGATACAATTGAGATAATTGCTCCCAGCTCTTGGGGGGGGGTCTCTAACTTGATCAGAGTGTTCCACTTTGATAATCCCCAATTTCTCAGTCTGATGGAGGAGCCGGGGGCTCCCACCTTGGAGAGAATCTCAAACCAATGGGGTAGTTTCCCCAGCTTCTAGGGTCCCAAACTTGATTAGAAAAACAATCTAGACTTTCCCAATCTAATGGAGGAGACACAATCCACACCTCGTGAGGGTTTTTAATGCAATACAGGATGCATGGCTTCTTCCTTCTAGAGGCTTCTGATCTGATGGAGGAATTGTCAGCCCATATTCTCAGGTCTGCTACTTTCACAGAAAAGACATGCTATGGGAAGAGAAGTTCCAGACATCCTATGGGGGAGACACAGTCACGTTTTCTGGGATTCTCAACCTGATAGGAGTGTTTGGAAGCTTCCACCCTGATGGAGGAGACATGGCCAGATTCTCTAGGGTGTCCTGATTTTTTAGGAGGGACAACCTGCACCGTCACCCATGGCTAAAATCTAGAGAGGGGAGATGTGTCCCTGGCAAGCACCACCAAGAGAGTCATGAAGTCACCTCCATCCTTGGTCTCCCCAGCACCTCATGAGGAGCACTTTCCCCGGAGGAGTTGGCCAAGGGAGGGGGAGGACTCCACCCCACACCCAAAGCATACCTGGCTGACAGTGGTGGTGGCTCTCTCTCCAGCCGCAGCCGTGGCCATGATGATTGTGCCTGTACCGACTAAACCAACGGAGGGCCAGGACGTGACCCTGACCGTCCAGGGCTACCCCAAGGACCTGCTAGTCTACGCTTGGTACCGTGGACCTGCTTCAGAGCCCAACCGATTGCTCAGCCAGCTGCCGTCGGGGAACTGGATCGCCGGCCCTGCACACACGGGCCGGGAGGTGGGCTTTGCCAATTGCTCACTGCTGGTGCAAAAGCTGAACCTCACGGACGCCGGGCGCTACACACTCAAGACCGTCACACTGCAGGGCAAGACTGATACGCTGGAGGTGGAGCTACAGGTGGCCCGTGAGTGAGCAGCGTGGGGGGGGGGCACAGTCCCACAGGTGGCCTTCTCCTCCCTCACAAGCCTGAGGGACACGGGCGTGTGCCTCTCCCATCTGACCTGAGTGCTCCCATACATGGCACTTGCCTTGCCTCTCAAATGACGACGAGCACCAAGGGTGGAGGGGCCTCCATCAGACTGAGGTCTCCTCGCCCATGTAAGGTATATGTCAGATGGAAGGCTATAAATAGGGGTGTCGTGTGAGGGTGGGCATCTTTCCTCCTCAGGTGAGTGGAAACTAAACCACAGGGATGCAGCTTCTTTCATCACACTGGGGAGTTGGGGTGAATGCAGGTATTTTCCTCCCCCATGAGACGTGCCACAAGGGCAAAGCCGTTTCCACCTTCTGACACAAGAGCTCCCCCAACCTGAAATGCATGATGTGCATTAGGATGCAGGCTGCTAGGTGTGTCTCCTCCGTCAGACAGGGTTCTCGTTGGGAATGACCTCTCCCACAGTGGAGAACCATGTCTCTTCCATCAGACTCAAACCTGTCTTCTCCATCAGACAGGGAGTTCCCAGAGTCAGGGACAGCATCTCCTCCATCAGACTGGGAACTCCCAGAGTCAGGAACTGTCTCCTCCATCAGATTGGGAAACTCGAGTCAGGAAATCAGACTAGGAGCTCCCAGAGTCATGGACAGCATCTCCTCCATCAGACTGGGAGCTCCCAGAATCAAGGGCCATATTTCCTCCACCAGAGTCAGGAACCATGTCTTCTCCATCAGATTGGGAGCTTCCAGAGTCAGGGGCATGTCTCCTCCATCAGAGACAGGGACCTTGTCTCTTCCATCAGACTAGAAGCTGCCAGTCAAGAACCATGCTCTCACAATTAAAGACCATGTCTCCTCCATCAGACTAAGAATTCCCAGGGATCTTCAAGGCCATGTTACTAGGGCAGGTGCGCTGGACAGGTGCCCCTGACAGAGAATAACAATCTGTAGTCTTGCCTGTCCCAAACCTAGACACCCAGATGTCAAGATCCTGAGCCAGGACCAGTCAGGACCCAGCCACTGGCTGTCTGGGTTCGCGCAGGCGCACTCCCGAGCCCGGGAATTCCTTTGCAGCCTCCTTTGTCACATTCCAGATGGAGGACCAGTCTACCCTGCAGCACCACCAGACCCCAGATCCTGGCACAGGCTGAGCGGGGCGGAGGGGTCCGCGGGAGGCGCGGTGGGCGGGGCTGCGGGAGGATCCTCCTGCTGACTGACAACCTCCTCGTCCCCGCCCCCGGTCCTCTTACACAGCCCTGGAGTAGCCGACGCAGCCGCAGCAGCAGCAGCACCCACACCGCAGGCCACTGAGACCTGGAGAGAAACGCGCTCTCACAGCATCTACCCGCATCCACCCCTGAGCCCAGGACCGCTCACCTGTAGAAGGCATGCAGACCACGGTCCCGCCATCCTGCCTCCATCTAGATTTAGCGCCGAGCTGTGGGAGAGCTACCCAGTCCATAAACGTCAGGATGAATGCACGTGGTTGTCAGCCTCTCCTTCCACCGCCGCCAGTTGGGTCAAGTGCAGCTAGGCCCCCCTGCTTTTGGTTGTCACCTCAAAGCATGGGCGCATGTGCACCTAGGGATGTTTGACCCACGCCCCCTTCTTATCCAGGGTAGGACCTGGGGCTTTCGCACAGGTCTGCAGCTCACATGGAGGGGTGCCCTGCTCCCCAGAGGGATAAAGACCAGACCTCTATGGGTACAAACAGAAAGAGTGGATGGAGTAGGGGAGGACCCTGTTTGCTGGGTAGCTCCTGCCCTCATCCTTGCCCTAAGGCAGGGCTACTTCCCCTCAAAGAACGGTATTTCTCAAGGGGCTGTCCAGCACCTTCTAGATCTCAGCCATTACATCAAGAACTCAACAATCATGGTGGTGCATGCTCATAATGCCAGCAGAGCTGGAGGCAGGAGGATCAGGGGTTCAAAGCACAGGGCAGTTTATGCAACGAGGTTAAAGACCAGCTTGGTTTACATGAGAACTTATCTCAAAAAAAAACATTTTTTAAGGGACAGAGAGATAAAAGAGGGTTGATACTTTAGGAGTAGATTGTATGGACATAGAATTACTTCTCTCACACATTTTTAAAAAAAATTCTAGGAAGTACATTGTTGGATGGAATCCCCACACAGTCTTCAGTAACAGAACCTTCTGTCTTCCTGCTTCTTCTTTAGCTTAGGGCTTCCAGTTTCTCAGTCAACTCAAAGGGCCTTACTGGCTGTAGGCTTCCTAGTTGCAGGGGACTCTGGGAAATGTAGTCTTACCCTTGGGAGTGTTGACGCCCCCAAATGATGTCATCACTGGTCAAAGAGAATGGTTCCCAGATGGGAAGCAGGCAGCCTCAGCTATGCTGGGTTGAAAATTCTGCATCTCACGCTGCACAAGATGACCTATTTTACCTACACCCAAGAAGGTAAGAGGCACAGCCAATTACCAGGTCCCAAAGCTTGGGGAACCACGGATGCCAGCTGAGGCTGTGTGGACTGGGCATTGTGTGAGGGGTGAATGCTTAATTAGGCCAGCAGGAGGGGGAGGCAGAGAGGGAGAAGGAAAGGGAGGCCTCTAAAGTTTCTAGGTCAAGCTAGGTTCTGTATCCCTGGTACAGGAAGGCTCAGGTGTCCCCATGACCGAGTCATACCTCCCTCTGGGCATCTCTAGGCACCATCTCAAGCCGGTACAGTGTCCTCCATTTACAGTCCACGAACAAAAACAACAACCACCATGAGATAGGCTTTGTGGTGAAGGGCATTTAGTTCTGGGTTCCAAACCTGCAAAAGAATAATTATAATGAGAATAATGTGGCTAGTTTTGTTTTTCATTGCTGAGGAATGAATCTAAGACCTTGTGAAGACTAGACACAAGCTCTACTACTGAGCCACACCCCAACCCCTCACTGGGGGATTCTAGGCAGGGGCTCTACCACTGGGCCACACCCCCAGCCCCTCACTGGGGTTTCTAGGCAGGGGTTCTACCACTGGGCCACACCCCCAGCCCCTCACTGGGGATTCTAGGCAGGGGCTCTACCACTGAGCCACACCCCTAACCCCTCACTGGGGGATTCCAGGCAGGGGCTCTGCCACTGAGCCACACCCCCAACACAGTCCACCATTTTATTTGTTTTCCTTGAGACAGGTTCTTACCATCTAGACCAAAATGACATAGAACTTTTGACCCTGCCACTTTAATCTCCCAAGTTTTGAGAGTCTGGGTCTCTTATGCCACCTGGCCAGGTTACTTTTGACCTTTTAGCTCACCAGTTCCTATGACATCTCTTATGTATTGCTGCTGTCAACTCTGTATGTCACAAGAGAGGAAAACAAGGGTCTGTAGTACTGTAAACCTTGCTCCAACTTTTGTAGTTCCCACAGCCGCCGGAAGGGAGCGCGGTCAGTGTTACCAGTTCCTCCCGAGGCAGCGGACAGACAGACAAACACAGAAACTCCTCTCTGCTGGGGAAATCGACTCTTTGTATTTCTTCATCCGTAAAATAGACATCATCATAGCTCTTCCCTCGTAAGACTGAGGATGATATAAATGTACAAAAAGAAACACTTGAGTATTGCCAGTAATGTTCACAACCCTCAGGCAGATAGAAAACAAACACATTTGTCTAAGGCTGAGGGTGTAGCTTCCAGTGTTAGAGCCCCTACTTACATCCCCCAATGAAGGGTCATGAGATGTAGCCCAGTGATAGAGCTCTGACCTAGAATCCCCCAGTGAGGGACTGGGGTGTGGCTCAGTGGTAGAGCCCCTGCCTAGAATCCCCCAGTGAGGGACTGGGGTGTGGCTCAGTGGTAGAGCCCCTGCCTAGAATCCCCCAGTGAGGGGCTGGGGTGTGGCTCCTACCCAGGGTGAATCCTAGGTTCCATCCCCAGTAGAGGGAGAAAAATAGTATGTGTTTCTTCCATGCATCTTCCCACATACATAGGTCTGCCTCATTTTGTGTAGTGCTTAGTAGACTTGTCATGAAAATCACTTATTCTGCCTTCAAGACAATAATAACCCTAAGCTAGTCTAAGTCTTGGAACTACACTATTACTCCCAGCAACTTCTGGGGCCTGTGATCTCAATGAAGATTCTGACTCCACCACCCAAGCTTCAATTTGAAAGGGGCTCCACTTCCCAAAGCTCCTAAAAATGTATTTAAAAAATACAGTCATCAGGGCTAGAGAGGTGGCTCAGTGGTTAAGAGTACTGGGTTGCTCTTCCAGAGGACCAGAGTTCAATTCCCAGCACCCACATGGTAGCTTACAACTGTCTGTAACTCAAAGATCTGACACTATCACATAGATGTACATGCAGGCAAAACACCAGTACACATAGAATAAAAATAAACAAATAAATAATTAAAAAATGCATCACAGCTGGGTGTGATAGATAATCCCAACTCTCAAAATGCTGAGGCAGGGGGTTTGCTCTAAGTTTGAAGCCAGCCAGGACTGAACACAAGAACCTGTATCAGAGAAACAAAAAGAGGGGCTGGAGATGTATTATGTTAGTGGAATGCTTGCCTACCATGCCTGAAGCCCTGGGTTCGATCCCCAGCACTGCAGAAACCCAGTGAGGTAACACATACCCTGGAGGTGGAGGCTGGAGGGTCAGAAGTTCAAGGTCACTCTCAGCTCTATATCCATCGCCATCCAAGCCAACTTGAGGTGCAGAAGACCCTGTGATTGGCTGGGTTCCATGGCACACGCTTTTATTCCTAGAACCTGGGAGGTAGAGGCAGGAGGATCTCTGTGAGTTCCAGGCCAGCCTGCTATACTTAGGTGGGTTCTAGGCCAGCCAGGACTACACAGTGAGGGTCTGTCTAAACCAAGACAAGAGAGAGATAGAGATGGGGGGAGAGGGGCTAACTGTCCAGATTTTAGCTCAGAAAGGAGTATGATCACACAGCAGACACAGGCAGAGGCCTCTGACCAGAGAGCTCACTGGTTCATCACCACCACCAAAGCTACTAAGCCTAGAGGTCCCTTGGAGCCCTTGGATTCCACCATCCCAGGAGGAGAGGTGGAAATCACCTCCAAGACACCTCTACCTCCTTCAACCCCATCCCCAGATGCCTTTTTCTGAAGTAACTGCCAGAGATGGGTCGGACAGGGAATGACCTCGCGGCCACACACACAGTAACCCAGTTGCCTGTGGAACCCAGCAAAGAAAAGGGAGGAAGCCTGACCCCATTTTTCCTCTATGGACTGGAATGACAATGTGGGGAGGAAATGGGATGCAGAGGCAGAGGGTGCCAGGCGTCAGACGACTGCCGCTGTCCACCTTTAAAACCAAGGGAAGCATCTCATTCTGGCACACAGTGCCCCCAGAGGGAGTCACAGCAGCCGCTGCCAGTCACTGGTTGGAGCCCTCAGTGCCCCCACCACTACTATAGCGTGTTTTAGAGGCAGGAGATCAAAGCCCCTAGACCTGTGATTTCTTCTCTCTTGGATTGACAGCCTCAGGCTTTCTTTGGGTTTCTAATGGTTTGTTTTGTGCTTAGAGGCAGGGTTTTGCTACAAAGCCCAGGCTGACCTGGAAGCCAAGTGCCTCCTTCCTCAGTCTCCTGAATGCTGGCAGGGCAGGGGCACCCAGCCGCACCCAGCTACACCCAGCTACAGAATTCTTCCCAAAGCATAAATGGCTCCCCACTCTTCATATTCCATTTCCTCTCATCCCACGGCCTTCTCTATGTTCCAGAAACCCAGAGGAGTAGAATACATACATACATACATACATACATACATACATACATACATACGAGAATTGGGCTGGTGGAGGCGGGGTGGGTGGCCAGATGACTCATGGGTAAATGCATTTGCTGTCAAACCCGATGTCCTGACTTCCATCTCCAGGGTCCACATGGTAGGAGGAGAACTGACTCACAAAGTTGTCTCTGACTTCCACATACATGCCCTGTCATAAGCACACATGCGTACACACACACACACACAAAGTTCAAGAACTGAGCTGAGGTGCAGCTCAGCTTGTAGAGCGCCTGCCTCTGCACAAAGCCAGCCCCACATAAACCACGCAGGGTTGTGTACAACTGTCATCCCCCAGGGGAGGCAGAAGCAGGAGGATCCAAGTACGTACCTTCCAGGCCAACCTGGGCTACAGAGTGACACCCTGAAACAAAAGAACCAGTCTCCTTGACTGGTTGTCATGGTGCACACCTGTAACCACAGCACTCCAGAGGTGAAGTAGTAGAACCATTAATTCAAAGTCCGTCCTAGACAACAAAGCCAGTTTGAGGCCAGTCTGGGCTACCAAAGACCCTGTCTCCGGAAAGCGAGAATCAACAGCGTGGCTGAGAGGACCACTTGAATGCCCATTGCCAAAGATGGCTGGCTTGGGCATTTCAAGGCTCTGAATTGCATGACGGGGTCTAGGATGCCAGAAGTCCAAGGCCAAGGGCTGGTAAGGGAGCTCACTCTGTGAGGACCCCTATCTGGGCTGGTAGGGGGACATCTTGTTTTGGCCTCCCAGGGCCTCTTTCCTGAGAAGGACAGAGAGGCAGAAGAAGATGGGTGAGAGTCCAAGCTCCCTAATAAAGGTACTAATCCTATCAAACCAGGGTCCCATCTTTATTGAGCTTTATTATTTATTTATTAATTAATTCATTTTTGGTTTTCAAGACAGGGTTTCTCTGTGTAGCCCTGGCTGTCCTGGAACTCACTCTGTAGACTGGGTTGACCTAGAACTTAGAGATCCGCCTGCCTCTGCCTTCCGAGGGCTGGGATTAAAGGCATGTGCCACAATGAAGGCAGAACCCCACTTTTATGGGGTTTATGACCCCCCTTGACCTCAACGATGCCCTTTTGGGCTCTGTCTCTCAGTCCAGTTTCTTTAAGGACTTAGATCTTTGGCACAAGGGAGTGAGGAGTGGATTGTCCCCACTGGTCTCTCAGCTTCAAGGACAATGACAGGCAAATAGCTGGTCCTCAACGGACGCTTGGTAAAGAGCCAGTGGACGAGTAGGTGAGCACCTCAGACCCTGCTCTGCTGGTCATGGGGTCTGTACAGGAGCCAGGTCAATTTTAGGGGTGCGTATTGAAGAGAGCAACAGCGTCTCTCTCAACAGCCCAAATAGGAAGCAGAGACCAGGAAAGTCTGTAGACATATCATTAAAGTGATGGCCTCAAGGCTGGAAACAAGGAAACACAAGGCTATGGAGTTTAGACTGAAAATGAGAAGCAGCCTCACAGAGGCAGACATTCAAACTGTTCATTAGAGGGTCGGGGAGTGGCTCCGTGGTAGAGCCCCTGCTTAGAATCCCCCAGTGAGGGGCTGGGGTGTGGCTCAGTGGTAGAGCCCCTGTCTAGTATTCATGAGACCCTGGGTTCAATCTCCAGCACTGAAGTAAAATGAATAAATTAAAAAATAGGAATGGCAAGTTGGCGCAGCTGGTAAAGGTGATTGCAGCAAAAGCCAGAGGACTGGAGTTCAATCCCTGGAGCCTACATGGTAGAATGAGACAACCAAATCCTGAAAGTTTTCCTCTGACCTCCCACAGGGGTGTTTTGGCATACAAAGCAACACACACATACACACACCCCACATAAATAAAATGAGGTGTGCACGGATTTCTGCTGTAACATACAGCCACAAGCATGGTGGCTTAAAATAAGTCTCCTAAAGCTAAAATGAAGCTGTTCCGAGGCTCCAGAGAAGAATCCATCCCTCCTCTCATCCCACTCCTGCAGGCTGCCAGTGATCTCAGACCTGGGCCTCTAAGATCAGAGGTGAGAGAGAAGGAAGGGCATTCCCGACAGAAGGGAACAGCACGAGCAAAGGCTAGGAGGCGCCCAGGAGGAGAAAGCAAGTGGAACATCAAGGAGGTGGAATAGCTGTGGGAGTCAGAACATTTGGCTAATCGCCTGGAAGGTGGGGACTGCGGCAGAGGACGCACAGGCTCTGAAGCTGGATGCCACCAGCACCCCTTCGGCTACCTCTGAAAAACAGGCCTCACCATAAGGGAAGAAAAGAGGCAGGGACAGCCAAGTGATGGGGCCCAGAAGCTGCTAGACAAAGCAAGAAGACAGGTGGCCGGGGGGGGGGGGGGGGGGGGGGGGGGGGGGGGGGGGGGGGTGCAGAGAATACAGTGAGAGAATACGTTGTTCTGGCCAGCCCTGCCCGGACCCTGAGACACAGGGGCTCTGGAGGGAAGTGGGTGATAAGTGCGGGCTGTGGTTTTTCACCCATCTGCAAAGAAGCCTCGTCCTCTCCCCGACTTCCCCTCCCGCCCCACAGGCTGCCTTGTTTGTTCCCCCGTCATTGTCTATGATGGGAAAGGCTGGATTTCCCCTAACCCAGCAGACTCCTCTTCCCTCTGCCTAGCCCGACCCTCCCACCTCGGGAAGCCCCGCGCGGCCTCCCAGAATGTCCCAGAAGGATGAAACTGCTGGTACCTTCTGTTACCCATTCATCCAGCCAGAGGGCTCTCCAAAAGAGGAAGGAGGTCACCCGCAGTCACCCAGCATGTGGTCAGCTTGGGACACTGGGACTTCATCGCCCTACTGTCCTCCCAACACCCCAAAAGACATATCTTTGATATGAGGAACAAGTTTGTAGAGGAGGTTCTACAGGAGAGGGGGTCTGGATTCACACCCAGGTCTCTGAAGAATGACTTTGCTGTAAGCTTAGAGGCGAAGGAGACAGGACCTGGCCCTGTCTTCTCACTTCTGTTGGGGAGAAAGAAAGACGTATCCCCAGACAGACAGGCATGGCCCAGCAGACAGAAGAGTTCAGGAGACTGTAGGAGCTAAGAAGAACCAGCGAGGACTTCCTGGAGGAGGGGAACAGCTGCCTGTACCCTAGAGACAGAACAGCACCAACGGGAAGCGCGAGGCCTTGGGAATATGCCCATTGCCCTCTCCGGGTAAACAGTATGCCTCAGCAAACAGTTAGGCACAACAAATATTCACTCGTTCATTGAATAAACACTTCCCGGAGTTCGGAGGGACGTGGAGACACCGCGGCGACTACCACGGTCCCACTTGGATTGCAACCTTGACCTAGGAGTCAAGGAGCCAAGCAGAAGGAAGGAGAGGGAAAAAGCAGAAAGGATGTTCCAGGCAGTGGGGACAGCCTATGAAAGGAGGTCGTTTCTCAGGGCGACGTTTTACCAATGGCTCGCGGTTCCTCTGAAGCCTGGGGGTGCTCAGAGAGGCCTGATAACTCTGGCCCATTGGCAACTCGTCCCTAAGGCACTGGGAGCCACAGAATAGCGAACACAGAAGGAAAGAGTGGGCTTGTGTTTCGGAAATAAGCCTCCTCAATGCCCCCGGGGGATGAACGCAGAGAAGCCACAGAACCACAGCGGCAGGGGTGGTCAGAATTTGCACCCGGTGCCTGGGAAAGCCTGCAGAGACCTTTCTCGGTTCCCTGGCCCTGGGTGAGACGTTGGCTCGTAGCAGCCTCCAGGTGGCGCCAGTGAGCCGCCCGCCGAGCTTCTCCAGCATCAAAGGTGGGTGGGCCCTGAGCAAAACACTGAGGTCCCCCTGTCGCCAGCCCATGCTCCCTGACCCTAGTTAGAGGACCCCAAAGTAGATTCCTGATCGTTCCCTTCTGCCTGGGGCACCTTTCTCCCCATCAGACTATAGGAAGTCCACGGTGCCACCACCAGACCGCCCCACACTCCTGTGAAACTGTCCAGGGCTGGGGTTGTAGGTGTGGGATAGGGTGGGGTTTGGAGTGGGCTGTCACGTCTCAAACCAAGGGAAGGAGGCACACCTGTTTTGTTAAAGAGAGGGAAACTGAGGTACGCACGGGACAGCGAAGCCCTGGCACTCCGCCGTGCTTCAGATGAAGCCGCAGACACCTCTGCGCCCACTTGGACCCCTGTCTGCACCTGACCCCCAACCCTGCGCCCTGGGTAACTTCCCTGGCACGAGGACCAGGGGAATTTCTGCCCCGCCGGCCTCTGGGCCACTCGCCTGCCCTTCCCGGCGCCAGCCACAGCTTGGGGTTAAAGTCCAGAGCCCTGCCCTGGGCTCCTGGCTAATCGGAAGGGAGATGAGGCCCCACTTCCTGCGGGGACTCCCCTGCTACCAGAGGTCTCACACCCATCCTTGGGAGGCAGCTCCTCAAGAAAAGTATTCTCCCGTTACTGATTCTGTAGCCTAATCTTGGAGCTCCGCCCCCCCTCCCCCAGCCTCAGTTTCCTCTCACAGTGAGCTCCAGGGCACAGTAGAGTGAGATTTCAGCTTGGATGTGGGGTCCCGAAAACTGCTGTGTGAGACCCGGAACCAGCTAGCCGTTGTTCTTTTGTTTTGTTTATTTGTTTGGGTTTGTTTTGTTTTTGTTTTTACCATTCTGTGAGAGTGTCTCACTATGTACCCTGACTGGCCCAGAACTCACAGAGATCCCCCTGCCTCTGCTTCCTGAGTAGGTTCTGTTGCAGTACTGGGACTTGAGTCCAGGTCCTCTGGCTCACTCCGGGAGGGATCTAATACCCAGCCCCTCATTGGTAGATTCTGGAAAAGCCTGATACCACCAAACTACACTACAGTATCCGAGATATTTAGGAAACTGAGGCAGGAGGAGGAGCAAAACCCAGGTCAGTGGGTAAGCTTGGAGAGCCTGCCACAAAATAAACAGCGAACACTGCGGAGGTGACTCAGTGTGTAAAGGGCATTCCGGACAAACATTCAGACCCGAGATCGGACCCCCAGCGTCTACAGAAAGGCAGGGCACTGTGGTATACACATGCCACAGAGGCAGGATGAATCCCCGGAGTGAACTGGCCAGCCAGTCTGGCAGAAACGACTCCAAGTTTAGCAAGAGTCTCAAAATAAAAGGTGAAAACCAGCAATGTTGGCAGAAGCCTTGGATCCCAGCACTCAGGAGGAGCAGGTCGATGAATCTCTGTGAGTTCAAGGCCAGCCTGGTCTACGTAGCAAGTTCCAGCACAGTTGAAGCTAGGAAGAAATATGAACCAAGTTCAAACGCAGGAGGGAACATGAGGAGACATGAGGGGCTTCTTTCTTTCTCTTCCCATGGCCCTTTAGCCTTCCCTTTTTTATTTTTGGAGGGAGGTTTTGAGGCAGGTTTCTCTGCATAGCTCTGGGTGTTTTAGAATTTACTCTGTAGACCAGGCTGGCCTCAAACTCACAGAGATCCACCTTCTTCTGCCTCCCAAGTGCAGGGATTAAAGGTGTGCACCACTGCATTCCAGTTTATTGTTATTTTATTTTATTATTTTATTTTATTTTATTTTGAGACAGAGTCTTGTGTAGTCCATGCTGGCCTCAAACTCACCGCACCCTCAAGGTTAGCTTTGAACCTATGACCTTCCTGCCTCTCCAGGGCCGGCACTGGAAGTGTGCACCACCACACTATTTCTCGGGTTACTGGGGACTGAACTCCATGTGTTACCTGTCTAGGTGAATGCTCTACCAATGAACTACATCCCAGCCTTGTTTCTGGCTTTCTGAACTCAAACTCACTATGTAGCCAAGGCTAGCCTTCGATTCTTAATCCAGCTGCCTACACCTCTCAACTTCTGGGGTCACTGCCGTGCCTTACCATGCCCAGCTCAAGTTTGCCTAAATTTATTTTTACTTATCAATTTTTATTATTTTTTCATTCACAGGGTCTGGAGTCTGGAGCATCACACAAACATGCTACCCTGAGCCACAGCCCCAGAGTGGATATGTCAAATATCCGCCTCTCCCATCAGGACTGTGTGATCTTTCAATACATCTTTCGCCTCTCTGAACCTTGACCAAGGACATAGGGTAAAGCTGACACCTCAAGTGTCCCCGTAGATCTGCCCAGGACATATGTCCAAACCAAACAGGAGAGCCTTATGAGTTTTTAGGGTGGAACTGGCCACAAAGCCCAAAGTAGCTGCCAACATGTCTGTGTTGCGAGGGGTGGGGCCTACGCCCGGCACTGCCAGGCCCCAGCTACTTCCTTTCAAGCCGATCCTTTGGTGGCCTGGGAAATTCAGCAGAGCCATCACTGGGTTACACAGGGTATCATCAGCTCACATTTAAGAGTTTTAGTTTGTAAACCAAGCATGGTGTCTCACCTCTTTAATCCTAGCACCTGCCAAGGGACAGGTGGATCTCTGTGAGTTCAAGGTCAGCCTGGTCTGCAGAGTGAGGCCCAGGACAGATGGTACCACACAGAGAAACCTTGTCTGTAAAAAACAAACAGAAAAAAAAAGGATCATTGTGTATTTTTGCTTGGGAATTTTTTAAACATTTACTTAATGGGTGGAAGAGATAGTTTGAGGGAGTTCATGCTCTCCTATTGTACCAGGTCCAGGAATCGAACTCAGATCCTTAGCCTTGGCAGTCAGCTTCTTTACCTACCGAACAATCTCACCGGCCTAGTTCAGAGCACTTAGGAAGGTTTAATAGTCCAACACCTGATAGGGGAGAGTCTTCTGTTTTGTGTTAATTTCATTGGTTAAAAAAAGAGACTGCCTTGGCCCTTTAATAGGACAGAAAATTAGGTAGGTGGAGTAGACAGAACAGAATGCTAGGAGAAAGAAGCCGAGTCAGGCAGTTGCCATGCCAAAAAATAAAGACAGGGGAGTTGTATCCTCAGACGCCACACAATGCCTTAAATCATGCATTGTTTACGCTAAACTTTCTTTTTTTTCTGGCTTAATGAATTTTATTTTTTCACACTGACAACTTTTTATTTATTTATTTATTTATTTATTTATTTATTTATTTATTTATTAAAGATTTCTGTCTCTTCCCCCCAGCCGCCTCCCCTTTCCCTCCCCCTCCCCCAATCAAGTCCCCCTCCCTCGTCAGCCCAAAGAGCAGTCAGGGTTCCCTGCCCTGTGGGAAGTCCGAGGACCACCCACCTCCATCCAGGTCTAGTAAGGTGAGCATCCAAACTGCCTAGGCTCCCACAAAACCAATAGGTGCAGTAGGATCAAAAACCTATTGCCACCATTCTTGAGGTCTCAGTAGTCCTCATTGTCCGCTATGTTCAGCGAGTCTGGTTTTAACCCAGGCTTTTTCAAACCCAGGCCAGCTGGCCTTGGTGAGTTCCCGATAGAACATCCCCATTCTCTCAGTGTGTGGGTGCCCCCCTCGCGGTCCTGAGTTCCTTGCTTGTGCTCTCTCTCCTTCTGCTCCTGATTTGGATACGCTAAACTTTCTAAATACAGATGTCCATGAGCGATCAGCTGCGGACAGATTGTGACATAACGGTACAAAAACCACATTTGCTAAAGCCAAATGGAAAGATCCTAGCAATGGGACTTGGAAGGGACCCGACCCCATTTTAATATGGGGTCGAGGGCATGTCTGTGTTTTCTCACAGGATAAAAACCAAGCCAGATGGCTTCCAGAACATCTAATTCAATGCTTTCAGCAGAAGGACAACAGACCTGGAGACAGCGTAGCTGACAACCGTGCTGCAAAAGGAACAGAAATAAAACGGCTCCAGAAGGAATCCAGTAACCCAGCCCACAGAGAGATGCCTGATCCGGACCTGCAACTCACAGCACTGCAAAGAGACTTCGGACAAAGAGATCCTGCTGAGACGAGCTGACTGCAGTGTCTGCTGCTGGCTGTGGTGTGAAACCTGTTGCTTCAGAACTAAGATACATTTGAGTGTTCTCAGTTTATGGGACAGGACTCATTTTGAATAAAATATTAAACCTAAGAACTAAGACCTAAGCTTTCCCCTGAGGGAAAGAAAGATGCAAAATAAAGTATGTCTAAAACCCCCCTTCACTTAACAAAGGGACAGACTAAGGGTTTAACAGCTACACAGAGACTGAAAATGAGATTTAATAATCAGCAAATGGTATTATGCTCTTAACAGTAATGACCTGATATTTACAGCTGCATATAAGGTGATGGGAAAAATTTGGTAATGACCAATGGTGCTAAATACATTGGTAATGACCAAAAAAAATATAAAGTTATGGTAAAGAAAAATATGAAATTATAAATAATTTGGAGAGCTGGTACTGACCGGCTAAATATGAAATTATGAAGAATTTGGAGAGCTGGTACTGACCAGCTAAATATGAAATTATAAATAATTAAAGAGTTGGTACTGACCAACTAAGTGTGAAGTAATAAATAATCGGAGAGCTGGTATTGACTGGCTAAACGTAAAATGAATAATCAGAGAGCTGGCTTTGACCGGCTAAATATAAAATTATGAATAATTGGAGAACTAGTTTTGACCAGCTAAATATAAAATTATAAAAATTGGGAGAGCTGGTTTTGACTGGCTAAATATAAAATTACGGTGTTAAAAATTTAAAGATCGGTATTGAGCAATAATGTGGAAAAATCATGATTGTGAGTTGCTACGATTAACAGTTGGCTAAAAGAGAGGTTATGACAATGAATGTTAAGAGTTGATACACATGCTAAAAATGTAAACTCCAAATGATGTTCTGTACCAGAAGAAGAAACATCTTCAACTCAGGTGATTCTACTCTCCTTTAAGATAGGAGAATATAGTCTTTGGGAGCATAATTATACATAAAGCTTTGTGATGCATCCTGACAAGATATGGCTGATACACAGGGCCTAAAAAGTATATTTCTCTCCACTAATCTCTTCTCTTTACAGAGGTCGGCAGTCAATGACGGGTTTGAAGCTTCTTCTCCCCAGATGCCTAAGACAGGGGCTTGCATAAAGGATGCCTGTTCCAATGACGGGAAAATTTGGGTAAATAAAGAGGACTTTGCCCAAGGCAGGCGCAACGTATCTGTCCTGTTGCAGAAGCACAGGGTTTATTAAAATTAATAAGAGAGAGTGGATTGTGGGCGCATATTCCGATATGCCACAAAAGCCATTACCCCGGTTTGAGCTGATTACATAGCTCTGCAGACAAGCTGTCTGTGCCCTTAACAAAAGCCAGGATGTCTGCTCCTAGCTTCTTTTGTTAAAGTGTGGATTACCTGAGAAGAGGTGTTGACTGAAACTGGTCAGGATGTTTGGTGCTTATTTCCTTTTGCAATTTGGAGGTTGTCTTATAGAGATGCTAATTCAGGGCCTACCTGACTGCTAGATGCAGACATGACTTAAGCCCAGGCACCTGGTTGCCTAGGTGATGGCGTAATGTGTTTTCCCCGCTCAATTTGGTGTGGGTATATAAAATGTTTGGACAATAAACGGGGTCTCTGGCCTTTTCCATGATGACGGTGTGAGCTGTGTCAGTTCTTTTCCTCGCGACTCCGTTCCAGCCGGGTTAGGGAATTAGAAAATTTATGTTGGATCCTCACGGGCCACAACATTCTCCTCTCCGAGATAGATGCCCGTCAGACTCGTCCCAGTAAGCCACACTCAAGGGTTAGATCAATATGTAAGAGCTAGCCAATAAGAGGTTATAACTAATGGGCCAGGCAGTGTTTAAAAGAATACAGTTTCTGTGTAATTATTTTGGGCAAAGCTAGCTGGTGCAGGAGATGGGCGGCGGGAAGCAGCCAGCCGCCCCTTACTACAAACACCATAGTCTACATCTCTTATGTTTTGTTTTGTTTTCTGTTTGTGTTTTGATTGGGGGGGGGTGTCTCAAGACAGGGTTTTTCTGTGTAGTCTGGTTATCCTGGAACTCTCTGCATAGACCAGGCTGGCCTCGAACTCAAGAGATCCTCCTGCCTCTGGCTCCCAACTGCTGAGATTAAAGGCGTGCACCACCACAACCTAGCATTGTTTGGCTTTGTTTGACATAGGGTCTAATATAAACAAGACTGATTTCAAAGTACCTTGAACTCCTGATCCTCCAGCCACCTGAGAGCTGGCATTACAGGCTAGCACTGCCACACCCGTTCATGGGGTGCTAAGGGGTGGATTCCAGGGGTTTGTGCCTGCTAGGCAAACCCTCTACCCGCTGAGCCACATGCCTGTGCTTTGAAGCTAAGGATGACTGGGTGTGAATGGAAGGCGGGGGGGGGGGGGGGGGGGGGGGGGGGGGGGGGGGGGGGGGGGGGGGGGGGGGGGGGGGGGGGGAGTGGAAGCAAGAGTTGCTCCAGGCACAAGAGGAACATGGACGGGAAGTCTAGTCTGTCTCCTCACTTCTCGGTCTCCATGTCCACCCAGGAGGCCAGACCTTCATATTTCCTTGTTTCTCAGGTTCAAAATCATGATGAGTCTGATGCTCACACATAAGACACCTGGGTCATTCCTTCCTTTTAGAAGTCCTCCCCCCAATCTTTCAGTGACAGGGAAGAAACTCAGGCACTCTATTACACTAAGCAAGAAGCCAGACCCCAGCTTCTCACTGGGGGATTCTAAGCAGGGCTTTACCTAGAGCCACACCCTAGCCCCTTACTGGGGGATTCTAGGCAGGGGCTCCACCACTGAGCCATACCTCCCATCTTCCCATCTGCACTATCCCCCTGTGCAATAACAACTTTCTATGAGCCCTGCATTCAGGAATTTATTCATTCATCTTCATCCTGTTTCATTCTAAGGAGCAAATGATGTGGAGAGCAAACCCTTAGCACTCAAGGGAACTATGGTGTAGAGGGGTCTCCACACCAGCACTCCTACTCGTGGTCCCTATGTAAGTATCAATCTGAGGTTAGTTCTATCTAAGTATCTAAGGCTATCCCTTAACACCAGAAAGAAAGCAGAGACCCAGGATGTTTGGGATGCTAGAATTCTTTGTCTTAAGAATGTCTTATGCAGGGCGGGAGAGATGGCTCATTGGTTGAGAATGAGGATGCTCTTACATAGAACCAGAGTTGGATATCCAGCACCCACTTCAGGCAGCTCACAGCTATCTCTAGCTCTAGTTCCAGGGGTCCAATGCCCTCTTCTGGCCTCTGTTGACACCCACACATGCCACAAGCCATACACAGAGATACAGATACAGGAACACATACTAAGACATGAATCTTATTTAAAAAAAAAATATTAGGCCTGGCCAGGTACAGTGGTACAGGCCTGTTATCCCGGTGACTCCAAAGGCTGAGACAGGAGTATCAAAAAGATCAAGGCCTTCCTGGGCTACAGAGTAACATCCTACTCTAAATTAGAATCAATGAAGAGAATCCCCTGCCTAGAATCCCCCAGTGAGGGGCTGGGGTGTGGCTCAGTGGTAGAGCCCCTGCCTAGAATCCCCCAGTGAGGGCTGGGAACTTGGCTCAGTGGTAGAAGCCCTGCTTAGAATCCCCCATTGAGGAGAGGCTGGGAGCTTGGCTCAGTGGTAGAGCCCCTGCTTAAAATCCCCCAGTGAGGGCTGGGAGCTTGGCTCAGTGGTAGAGCCCCTGCTTAGAACCCCCCAGTGAGGGACTGGGGTGTGGCTCAGTGGTAGAGCCCCTGCCTAGAATCCCCCAGTGAGGGACTGGGGTGTGGCTCAGTGGTAGAGCTCCTGCCTAGAACCCCCCAGTAAGGGGCTGGGGGTGTGGCTCAGTGGTAGAGCTCCTGTCAATTATGCCCAAGGCTCTAAATTCACTCCCTATTGCCTAGTTTCCTGTTGGCTTTGGTTTAACTGGACATACTGGAAAAGGTGTTCAATGCCCTCAGTGATCTAGGAAACACTCCTTATACCTGTGGGAAATTCTGACATACATACTCATACACTAACACTAGATGACTCACAAATCAGAAGCATCTAGACCTAGCAAGGATGTGAAGCAATTGGAAGTCCCAGTAGACACTGGAGATCAAAGTAGAGACTGACTCCACCCCATGAGAAGACAGGCAGATAAGTCAGTCACTTGACAGAGTGGCGCCCAGCAAGCTCAGTGATAGCAGTGACCCACATGATGGGGGAAGAGAGCAACTCCCTGTCCATTGTGTTCTGACCTCCACGTGAGGGCCATAGAGCCCACATGCCCACAGACACACACATATTACTCACAAATACAAGTATTCTTTAAAAACTGTGTGGACTCCAGGAAACAAATCAGCCTTGATCAAAAGCCAGGAACTAGAAATGGTCCCTAAGCCCAGCAGCAATACTCGCATGTATGTGTAAGGGGCTACTACACAGCAGGAAAGGGGTGATTTGCCCACAATTGATGATAGAAGATGAGGAACCTGAGGGCTGGAGAGAGAGCTCAGAGCTTAGGAGCCAAACACAGGATGCCCGGTGAGGAGGGAGCGCGGGGCTGGGGCGAGGGGACTGTGGACTGTGGAGCCTAACCAAAGCAGGCAACCCTGGCTCTAAACTGATTGCTCCTATCATATTTTGTGAAATGGTTATGTTACATTAAAAATATTTGTCTACTTAATAATTTCAGGATTTTGTTGTTGTTGTTTCAAGACAGGGTTTCTCTGTGTTGCCCTGGCTGTCTTAGAACTCTCTCTCTGTAGACTGGGCTGGACTTGAACTCAGAGATTTGCCTTCCTCTGCCACCTGAGTGCTGGGATTAAAGGTGTGTGCTACCTCCACCTGGCTATAAAAAATATTTTTTAATTCAAAACTTGGTTTTCAGCCGGGCAGTGGTGGCGCAAGCCTTTAATCCCAACACTCGGGAGGCAGAAGCAGGCAGATCTCTGTGAGTTCGAGGCCAGCCTGATCTACAAGAGCTAGTTGCAGGGCAGGCCCCAAAGCTACAGAGAAACCCTGTCTCGAAAAAAAAAACAAAAACAAAAAAACAAAACCCAAAAACCTAAATAAACAAGAATCTTCTACTATTCTACATCTCCATTCTTGGACTTCTGGCATAGTCAGCAGACAAGATCTTTGAGAACATAAGGTCATCTGTAGCCCACAAAAAAGCTAATTTGGCATCAGAGACACATAAAAGATTTAATATTCCCAGAAGTGACCTAAGGTGTGTAACTCCACGTGAACACAGGGGCAGACGTGATAAGTTCAAGATTGAGTGACGTGCGAAAGCACCGGCAGCAGCCTGCAGCTTCCACCTCCTGCAAGGTGGGACAATAACCAAGCTCATGAGGTCCCACCTTCTCCATTCCTCCCCAGCCAGCGCAAAGCCAAGCACTGCCCAGGAAGTGTGTATCGTCAGCCATGCCCCACCCAGTGTCTCCTGTGATGAGCTGACCTGTGGTGGCTCGGCCGAGAAGCCGCCCGCTGCACAAACCGCTGCTGCCTACTGGAGACCGGAGTCCACAAAAGCGAGGTAACTCAGCCACATCAGCAGGGTCCCAACCCCACAGCAGTGTGTCGGAGGACAGGGCAAACCCACAGCCCTGCGTCAGAAAGAGGGGACAGCGAGCGTGCTTGCCCCGCCACAGGTGCCAATGAGGAAGAGTTCTGTGTGACCTTGGCTTTCCCAGAAGCCCGGGGAACTTTGGCTTCTGTACTCTGGGGCCCTATGGGGAAGGGGGAGTCTAACTTCTGGGGAAAAGGTGGATGACTAGAAATAGCTCTTCCTCCTGTAAAGGCTCCCAAGGGGGTTCTGAGGGATCAGTAAGATGGCTCTACAGATAGAGGTGCTTGCTTTCGAGCCTCCAAACCTAAATGCCAACCGAGGGCTCCACACGGTGGAACAGTTTGTCCTCTGACCCCCACATTTGCTCTAAGGCATGCACAGACACAGACAGACCCTAAATAAGTAATACACGTTATTGAAAACACACACACTTAAAACGGGGCCTCCTTATGACCGGAAGGATGACTTGGCAGTTAAGAGCACTTGCTGCTCTTGAAGAGGACCCAGGTTCAAGTCCCAGCACCCACATGGCAGCTTACAACCATCCACAAGTCCAGTTCCAAGGGATCTTGCTCCCCCTTCTGCCCTCAAAGGGCTCTGCACACATGTGGTGTACATCTGTTGATGCAGGCAAAAACACTCATACACATAAACTAAAAATAAAT